TTTTTTTAAGTTTTTTATTTTTGTAATGTTTTGCAAGGAAGCGTCAAATTTCACACCAAGCTCAAAGTGACAGTTTTGTGAAAATGTGTCATCTTTGAATTTTTTGATTAAGCAAACGTCTGAGACAAAGCTCCACGTATCGTAAATAAACTCAAATCAACACAAAAGATCGAACAAAACAAGCAGACACTCATTTATCACGAATCAAGAAAAAAGTAATAAAATCTCAAAAACAAAGAAAAAAAAATCCAGAACATCCAGGAGGTACTGATAATTCAAAATAAGAAGCTAGTGACAACATACCGAAGAGAATAAAGAGGCAGTGGGGCGTAACTCTCTTTAAAGACAGCAGAGAAGGCAGCGGAGGGACAGGACAGGTAAAGGTGGGAGGGCAGGACAGGTGGAGGGTCCGAGGCGTTTCCATGGCAACAAATTAAAAGGGGAAGAGAAAAAAAAAAAGACAGGTGAGGGGTCAATCAGAAGGATAAATTACCTTTGGAGAGGAGGGGTTAGATAATGTCAAAATAAGATCATTTTAAACATGACTGAACAGGTGTGCATTTTCTGCAGCTGTAGGGGGAAGAGGGTGATGGAGGATGATTTCATGATAGGAAGTCACATGGCGAAACAATAAAAACATCAGAGAGCAAAACCTTAGGGGAAATGGCTGTGTTTGTGTTTTAGTGGCAACAATTTTGGGATGGATCAATTTTAGTTCAGATGGGCTGCAGAATTGTTGCATTGAGTAGTCTTTTTTTTTTTTTTTTACCATTTTGGTTATTCTGATTAAATATATGGATTTCATTTGCATGCAATTTTGGGTGTAAAATAACTGTGGTGCTCTTCAGTGAAGGCTTCACACGGAGCAGACGGCTCACCTCAGGGTTCAGGTTGCTGACTAACAGGACCGAGTGTCCTGCAGGGAAGGTGGGGAATCCCAGCCTGGCAGCAGTGGGGAGGGTCAGAGAGGCCAGCCCTCCAGGAAGAGCAGGGACTGTCAGGCCTGGATAGTGGGAGGACACTGAGAGAGGTGGAAGGTATAAAAAAACAAACTAAAACTGCACAAAAATACCTGATTCAAACACTAAAAATACATAAACTATAGATCAAAATTGTGTGTTTATTCTGTCAGCTTCACTAAAACTAACTAGTTAAATTAAAAATGCTTTTTTTAGGTTAGGGTTAGCATTTGACTCTGCCAAGTTAAACCAGTGAAGCATTCACCCAGACTTAAATACAGATCAGACTGGAATACAACAGCTGCGGCCAATGGTCTTTCATTGGCCGCAGCTTCCCTTCAGGTGGGACTCACCTGCTGGCTGGATTGTAAAAGTTGGAGTAAAAGCGTGAGTTGCTCCGGGGTACGGTGAAGCCGAGATGATTCCTGGAGCTACCGAGAAGAAAAAGCTTAGTTTTTACCAATAACCACACAGCCTATTAATACAGCATTGCTTTCTGTTGTCATGGAGATAAAGGAAGATGCAGACATCTTCTGAATTATCTTAACATCGTTTTCTTCTATTCTTTTCAGCAATTTTTTTTTTACCCATTTAAACCTTAATTCCTGAAGATGTCTTAAATAAACATGACCTTTCAGGTCAACTTGAAGTTGCTTCTCTAATGCTCGTATGTTATGGGGTGAAGGAGGAGTCCTTACCAAACCCTGCAGCCATGGCCGGATGCTCCAAGCTGTCTCCAGATGGCAGTTCTGGCCTGGTGAAGTCCCGGCTCTTCTCATTATTGTATTTGACGTTAAGGCTAGTGAGTTTGGAGAAACTAATCCTCAGGGTACAGCAACCGTTGTAGATGTTTTGTCCATCAAGAGACTGAAGCACAAGAGCACCAATGTCCCCAATCAGGACTCCATCCAATGAAAGTAGCAGAAACTCTGAGATGTAAAGTTACCAACTGCTGCTCACCAGTTTGGCTGCCTGGGCAGATGATCCGTCTGAATACTGCAGCAGGGCCTGGAACTGATTGTTCTTGGTGAAAATGATGATCCTCAGCACAGTGCCGAACTTTGAGAAGATCTGAACGTCAAACCGAAGCAGATAAAGAGCAGAGTCAGGGGGACAGTGTGAGCGGAAGAGTTAATATTGCTAGACAAATAAAACTGAGCCAAAATTAAGAAAAGATGCTTATTTCCATTGTGCTGCCAATTGTGTTTCTTTTTTTACCATTTCTAT